AAAAAAAAAAAAAAAAAAAAAAGTCACAGAATGGCTTCTCCCTTTGCCGTCGATTCCGCTAATCAACGATCACGAACCGCGAATCCCCCCCACCACGCGCGCAACCATCCAGCCACTTGGGCGGGAACTTCCACAGGCGGAAGCGTCCGCGCGCAAAAGCGCAGCCAAGTTCAAGAATGCTCCCCCTCCTCCTCCCCTTCCTTCCCCACCTCCTTCCCCTCTCCTCACCCTCCTCACCCTCCTCCGCCTCCTCCCCTCCTCCTCCTCCTCCGCCTCCTCCGCCTCCTCCTCCTCTTGCTCCTTCCCGTTACTACTGCTGCAGCTGCTTCTATTGCTCCTCTTCTCCCTGTGAGGGATTTTTTTTTTTTTTTTTTTTTTTTTTTAACTCCCTGTGAGGGATCGTTCCTCTCACTTAAAAATCAGCAATGTCAAATAATAAAAATAAAAAAATCAGCAATGCTAACGGCAGCTTACGGCCGTAGATTGTCTTCTCCCTGTGTGCTGTGATAATGTAGCTAGCGGTAGCGGCAGTTCAAATCTTATACAGGGGAGTGAATAATAAGTAATAAAGTAAGTAATACGTTAAAAGCCGTCACTCCCATGGCGCACAAGCTGGGGCTCCCGGCGCAAGAGAAAGGCAGAACGAGGAATCCGTATAGAACCAAAAGCTGCAAATCGCCGGCAATCGGAGGAATATCGCCGGAATACAGTCGGAAATAAGCGGAAACTAGCCGGAAAAAGGCCGGAAACGGTGGCAAACGGCGGGGTAGGTAACAGCGAACAGTGAGCGGGGTCGCCTATCATATCAGTGAAATGTCTAGAAAGAACGAAAAAACACTCTCAAAAAAAAAAAAAAAAAAAAAAAAGCCAGACGAAAATAACAAAATCGCAGCAATTTAAAAAACAAAAAAAAAACGAAAAATACTAGCCAACAAACCCACACACACACAAAAAAAAAACAAAAAGAGGAGAAAAGTTTTTAAAAACTATTTAATTGCACAAATTACTTTACAAAAA